ACCAGGGGCAGAGAATGCGCCATGATGGGATAATGGGAGGGATTCTTTTGCTAGAAAAGATCAGACTGAGCCCACCCAGCTGGCTGCATCCAGACCCCAATACAAGACCCACCCCGAGAATCAACACTTCCACTGAGATTCAAAGGATGATAAGGAGGGTTGGGGAACAGAGGAGAGCAAAGACAGGAGAAGGGAGAAGCAAAAAAGAAACACCACCACAAACAAAAAAACAACTAAAATAATGAATAGAATCATGGCATGGTGATGGGCATGACTGGTGCAGTGGGCACCATGGAATTATGGGACAAGAACTTCCCCTAGTCTTTAATTAGTGTAAAAGTAGTGAAGTCAAGCTCAGGACCTAACCCATGATTGTTAAATTAGTTGAATTCAGACAGAGAGATTCAAAGAGCAATAGATTAATCAATTCACTAATAGACTGAAGAGAGGATTTGACAAAATTAGATAGATAGATAGATAGATAGATAGATAGAGAGAGAGAGAGAGAGAGAGAGAGAGAGAGAGTATCTGGGGATGGATAGATAAATAGAAGGATAGATGGGATGTATGGGGATAGCTAGCTAGACAGATAGATGCAATGTGTGGGGATAGATAGATCCATGTGAACATAGATACAGACTCTGTGCTCAGACACACACTATGTCTCTCTATGCACTTATGGAAAATTCAAATGCAGAAACGAATGACATGAGTTTCTCTAATGGCAGACGGGGGCACAATGCCGATGGACTTCAGAGGGAGAATGACTACGGGCGTAAGGCCTGGATGTTTAACCTACCCTGCTTAAGATGAGTCGTTCCATTTCCTAGCTGCAGGCTCTGTACATGTAGCAGGAATCAGAGGGAGTTTTATTTCATTCACGGGCTTTTGGGATCAAGTCCCTGAAGGAAATTTCTTGTGATTTTCCACCGAGGAAAAGCAGCCCTGCCCCAAACTGCAACAACACCAAATTCACCAGGGTTTGTCATTTCACGGGAAGTTTTTCCCCATCAATGTCAGCATCAACATCATGTGTGTTTTCCACATGGAATTTGTGATGGGATTTACTGACAGAGGTAAATAGCGGGACACTTTATTTGTCTAGAAGGAGGCATGATCTGCCCAAGGTCACACAACACAAAGAGTCGGTAGCAGAGGCAGGAACAAAACCCTGAACTCGTGGTAAAGGGTCTGTCACATTTTTGCTAGAAGAATTAGAGACTGACCTGTCCAACACCACACACAGCATCAGGGACACACCCAGGGCTCATGGATCCTGGTCTCTGATGTTCAGACTCTGAGCCCCACACTTGTCTCAGAGCCAGGCTGAGACCCCAAGAGCTCTGACTCCCAGCCCCCCCTGCTCTAACCATTATACCCCTCTCTCTTGCCAGGGCTGGGAACAGAACTCAGGAGTCCTCACTCCCAGACCCCCCTGCCCTGCCCACAAGGCCCATTTCCTTCCCCGAGGGCCAGCCCCACAGCCCAGAGCAGTCAGGGGACGGGTCCCTTTGGCACCAGTCAGTTTGCAGCAGCACCAGGACCACGACGAGCTCCCAGGGGCATCAGAACAAATTGTGAGTGGGAACAGAGGGGCTGGGCCCCCTCTGTGTGGGGCAGCAGGGAGTGCGCTGGGTGGCCCAGGAGGGAGCGCTCCCCTGTTGGGCTTGGTGCTGATCCACAGCGACCCACGGCATGTCCATGGTGACAACACCCAACGCGGAGCAGCTTACACTGGAATTATAGCAGATTTATTAGCACCGCTTGGAACGGCGCCAACCCGGAAGTCCAGCAAGGCAGGGAAGGAGCCTACAGAGGGAGCTGAGCATGGAAATACATTCACCAGCCCTTCCAAAACTCCCCTGAAAGTTAGTGACCATCCTACTTCTCTTCCCCTCAGCACCAGCCCAGAGCCCAGGGCACGATTCTATCACGTGTTACCCCACGTCTGAGCCGGACTCCACAGGGTGTTCCCACCACGTCTCCTCCCCATTGTCCTATGGGAACAGCCTTCTCCCAGCGCCTCCTGCTGAGCCCATCCCCCAACTGACTGCCGTGACATTCTCCTCCAGCAGCCCCCTAAGGTGTGTAGGGAGCAGGGGTGGCCTCTCACTGGCCCAGAGGGGGAAGAACCCTTCTCCCAGCATGGGTGGGCCGACGCCATCTTCCTCTTTAACCCCCCGGAAGCCAAGGGGCTGAACGAGTGGTATAAAAGACCAGCCCAGGAGCTCAGTAAGGCCCCAGCCACCAGAGGAGGCAGGGGCCTGCCACAGGCACCCACACCGAGGAGGAAACCCTGGTAACCCAGCCGGAAGGTGCAGACCCTGATGACCCCAAATACGAGCAGGAGGAACCGACCGCATTGTCCTGTAGCAGCCTTAGTCAGCAACCCGCTGACACAGGACAATGCGGTCAAGCTTCTCCTCTTGACAAGACAGACACAAGCTGGTCCAGCCAGCTGACTGTCTCCCTAAGATCCTCGGCCCAGACGGTTACAAGAGCCCTGCACACTAGACCAGCTTCCACAGTAGCACCAGTGGAAGGCCCTGGGCTGCGATGCAGTGGAGCAGGGAGGGTATGTGTCCTCCCTGCCACCCCACTCCCTGGGAGCAGTCTCCCTCTCTCTTGCCAGTGTATTTGTGTGTCTGCCCCACCTTGCCCCAGGGCCTGGGCTTAAAGGGCTGAGCCATGTGTGGGGAATCAACAGGGGAATTAGCTCAAGTGGTAGAGCACTTGCTTTGCATGTTAGAGGTTGTGGGATCAATACCCACATTCTCCAGTGAGGGGAAATATTTCCAATTTTTCTTTAGGGGGGAGGGATAGCTCAGTGGTTTGAGCATTGGCCTGCTAAACCCAGGGTTGTGAGTTCAATCCTTGCAGAGGCCATTTAAGGATTTGGGGCAAAAATTTGTCAGGTATGGTACTTGGTCCTGCTGTGAAAGCAGGGGACTGGACTCAATGTTCTGTCCCTTCCAGTTCTAGGAACTAGGCAATCTCCATTAATTAGGGGGGAAAAGATAGCTCAGTGGTTTGAGCATTGCCCTGCTAAACCCAGAATTGTGAGTTCAATCCTTGTGGGGGCCATTTAGGGATCTGGGGCAAGTCTGTCAGGGATGGTACTTGGTCCTGCTGTGAGGGCAGGGGACTGGACTCAATGACCTCTTAAGGTCCATGTTCCAGTTCTATGAGATGGTATATCTCCATAACTTTATTTACAGGACGAGACACAAATGGTTTGCAACACTTGGGAGTATGCCAGAAATGCACAGAACACTGCGCGGGTTTGGGTCACGGTGCATTCACTTCCTTGTGCCCACCCATTGCGCCATGGCTGGGGTCAGCAACGAGGCCTTCTACTGGCGCTACTGCGGAAGCTGGTCTCGTGTGCAGGGCTCCTGTAACTGTCTGGGCCCAGAGTACTAGGGAGACAGTCGGGTGGCTGGACCAGCTTGTGCCTCTCTTGTCAAGGGGAGAAGCTCTCACCTCAGCCACATGGCCCTTCCAAAGAATTGTCATGAGTGTGGGCCTGTCGCTCCCTTCTGCTCTGGGTTCCTCACCCCTTTATCCTCTGGTACCACACAACGGTCATTGATGTACTGCTGTGTCCTCCCTGCATGGGCTACAGGTCTCTCTCTCTCTCTCTCTCTCGCTCTCTCTCACTCTCTCTCTCGCTCTCTCTCTCTCTCACACACACACACATACACACAGAGAGTGTGTCTATTGATATACCATGGATTTAGCCCCTACTATTCCAGGTTCAGTTGTGCCTGCCGATGACCCAGGCCGTTGGCTTTCATGGTTAGGTTCATGTAAATGCAGAGCTAAAGATAAAGGTTTTAAATTGCAGTTTATTATAGATAGAAAGTCATGAAGACACACAAGAAAATTGAACAATATTTCTCAAAGTAAGAATATAGATTGATATTTTTATCATAGAGTTAGACAAATGCGTACAGATATACACAGAGACATTTGGTGCAGTTTTTGAGAGCTCTCATAGTTATGAGTTTCTTAAGAAAGCTGTTAGTTTACATGTATGGTATAAAATTTAAACAGTGATTATCTGACTCACGAATAGCAGGGTGAAATCTTCTGGCCTTTGTAAAGCAGTGTGTCGGTCTAGATAATCAAAATGGCCCTATAATGCCTTGTAATCAAGGAATCTATGCTATGCTGTTCTAACTCTATCTGCCAACACAGATCTCTGAGGGTATGTCTACACTACCCTCCTAGTTCGAACTAGGAGGGGAATGTATGCATACCGCACTTGCTAATGAAGCCCGGGGAAATCAAATCCCGGGCTTCATTAGCATAAGCGGGGAGCCGCCATTTTTAAATCCCCGCTGCTTCGAACCCCGTGTAGCGCGGCTACACGGGGCTCGAAGCAGCGGGGATTTAAAAATGGCGGCTCCCCGCTTATGCTAATGAAGCCCGGGGAAATCAAATCCCGGGCTTCATTAGCATAAGCGGGGAGCCGCCATTTTTAAATCCCCGCTGCTTCGAACCCCGTGTAGCGCGGCTACACGGGGCTCGAAGCAGCGGGGATTTAAAAATGGCGGCTCCCCGCTTATGCTAATGAAGCCCGGGGAAATCAAATCCCGGGCTTCATTAGCAAGTGCGGTATGCATACATTCCCCTCCTAGTTCGAACTAGGAGGGTAGTGTAGACATACCCAGAGGTAACGGAAATCCAGGGTCATCTCCCGCAGTAGTTGTATGACTCGATCAGGCGAGGCATTGAGCGATCTCTCAGAGTCTGACATAGGAAGCCCTTCATAAGTGCTGGAGCATATTATTTAAATATAGGCCAAAGGGAACACTAGGGAAATGCATTCAACAGATAAAATACCCAACCTAATCCAAGATGAAACCTTAAGTTCTGTAATGGGCCTTCAAAGGTGAAGCCCAAATGGACTTACTGTAGATCAAGATGCACTTTTTCCACTTTTAAAATTTTTGAGAAACTTGTTAAATTGGTACAATGTGAGGTGAATGTTTTCATTTTTTTTATTTGGCATTTCAAATTTGGAAGATATAAAATCAGGAAAGTACTTTCATTAATATTCTCAGGTGATGGTTCAGTGAATTTAGACCTCACCGACAAAGTAGTGATAGAAATTTCCCTGTATATAGATTTACTTTTATGGTAACAAAATTATCTATTTGAATTTGCTGGAAGGATTTACAACAAGTCCAAGTTGCCAGAAACAAAATATCAGTTAAAAATGAATGTCATCAGAAGAAATTCAAGAAAATGTTAATGATTGTCCCTCTTTTCCACTGTTTAAGGTAACTCTCCTTTTCATTCTCTAGTTTCTCTGGTTGTGGGAACAGACACTCTTCTCCAGAGTTTTTCTGAAGGCTCTATGCACCTCTTTGTTCCTCAGACTGTATATTATGGGGTTCAAAATGGGTGTCACAACTGTGTAAATGAGGGAAATCAAGTGATCACTCTCTGGTGTGTAGCTAGACATGGGTTTTAGATAAGTTGAAAGGCAAGTTCCGTAGAACAAAGTCACCACCATGAGGTGGGAGGAGCAGGTGGAGAAGGCTTTACGCCTCCCCTCCGCTGATGGCAGCTTGATGATGGTGGAGATGATGAGGATGTAGGACAGGATAATCAGTACAAAAGGGCCCATGATGAACAGCGTGGAAACAGTCAAGCCCAGGATCTCATTCTTCCATGTATCGGCGCACACCATCTTCTCTATTGGTCGGATGTCGCAGAAGAAGTGGTGGATGTGATTGGAGCCACAGAAGGGCAGGCTGAAAAGCCATGTGGTGTCAGCTGATTCCACCAAGAGCCCAATGGTCAAAGAAACACCCGAGAGCAGCGCACATGCTCGGCCATTCATGATGGTGGTGTAGTGCAAGGGGCGGCATATGGCCACATAGCGGTCGTAGGCCATGGCTGCGAGGAGGCAGCATTCTGCGAGAACCAAGGTGCTGAAGACCAACATCTGGACCATACAGCCCACAAATGAGATGGTCTTTTGCTCCACCAGCAGGTGAACCAGCAGCTGAGGGGTCACATTGGTGGTGTAGCAGATTTCCAAGAGAGACAGGTTCACAAGGAAGAAATACATGGGGGTGTGGAGAGAGGAGTTTAGTATTATCAGGAGGATAACAAGTAGGTTCCCCACCAGCGCAACTGGATAGATGACCAGAAGCAGCAGAAACAGAAGGATTTGCAGCTCATTAAGGTAGGAAAAGCCCACCAGGATGAAGCCATCGGAGATGGTCTGGTTCTCGCCAGGCTCACTCACAGAATAGGTCATCTGCAGGGGTGAGAAAGGAAGAGACACTGGAGCTGAATCTGTGCAACACCAAACATGTGTCCGTGAACTGAACAAGTCAGGCTGGGTCACCATCCCTTGGGACTCTCCGCAGTCAAACCAGCTGCAGTTCAGTATGGAAATGTGTCCCGCGCTCTCTGCTGACCATGTGCAAACTGGTGTCACTGTTTTTATGTCAATTGAGATCAGCTCCAGTTGTGACCTTATTACTGCAGTGGAAGTACAACTCATTTACAGCAGGTGGGAGATCAGATGTATTGACTCCAAAGAAGCCTCAAAGGAAAGGAAATTTGCTATTTTCCTCTGCCCGACAATCTAGTCTGCCTCCTCAGACACAATTTTATATCTAAATGATTGCTCAAAAAAGGGATGAGTCTTCCCTTTCATTTCCTTCTCCCTCTGGGGGTGTTATTCTGCAGTCAGGTTTAAATTATAAGATTTCTTCCTACAGGGCCAATTTCTGATCTGACACATAGGGGTCTCATTATGGCCATGCAAATATTCCCGCTGACTTCCTAACTCACATAAGGGGGGCGGCTCCCAGGAATAAAGTGTTAGTAGGGAGACCAGCATAGTTAAAGCCCTCCGGAGAGTGAAAGAATGAAGGGGGTCTCTGACATTTCTGGCACTGTCATTCTTCCCAAAATGGGAGCAGTGAATTTCAATCTTCTCATTCCAGAGTGACATCGGACATGACTGGCATCTCTAAGTGTGGGAAAGAAGAGTCCGGATTCTCATCTGATATCAGTCTCACAGCCCGGGTGAGGGACACAGAGCTCTAATGATTTGCAACTGTTAAGGATCTTTTCTCATCTGACATTTCTGGCACTGTCATTCTTCCCAAAATGGGAGCAGTGAATTTCAATCTTCTCATTCCAGAGTGACATCGGACATGACTGGCATCTCTAAGTGTGGGAAAGAAGAGTCCGGATTCTCATCTGATATCAGTCTCACAGCCCGGGTGAGGGACACAGAGCTCTAATGATTTGCAACTGTTAAGGATCTTTTCTCATTTCCTGGCTGCTAAAGGGCTGGAAGAGGAAAGATCCTGCAACACAATATGTGATTTCTTTTATACCAGATGTTTTAATTTTCACAAGGGTCGTCATAATCATGGGTAATGACTTGGAAACTCAACTCCCCCAGAGTTGAAATAAAAATGAGCAATAATATATTTGACCATTTTGCATGTTCATAATAACAAATTACTCAGGTGGAAACTGAGGATGAAAGAATGAAGATATTTAGGCTACGCAGTGAGTCAGCATTCCCAGAAATAGAAGTGGGGTCTCGTGAAACCAGATTTTGTGCCACCACCATAAGACCAGTCTTTTGGAAATGCAACCCACAAACATCTGTGATGCACACACACAGAGACTCAATAGAATGAAATAGAGAAAATTGAATCAACCCACCAGGTCACTCCCGGGGGTAGCTCTGTACGACGGGCCCAGCATATAAGCAGAGGGAAGGGTGATCTCTCAGTAAGGAGCACTGGAGAAGAGGTGGGAATTCTTCTGCCTCTCGTTGGAAACTTACATTGGCATTTCTGAGCAAAACCACAAGGTGACAAAAAAGAGCTTTCTGGAAAATGGAAGGTCTAATGGAAATTCCAATATTCCAACACTTGTGCTCACCCTGAATCACTAGGGAACCTTAGAAGAAAGACAACCTGAATTCTGCTGCAGAAGGATCACTATTAAATCGCATGGAAAATATAAAGTGTCCTCAACATCAGCGTTTTCTCATGGAAAACATCAGTGCTTAGGAAATCTTCATTCAGGTGGGATTTTGTTTGATTGATGGCTGGCAATGGGAAAAACTCTCCATAAATAAAGACATTTACTCACCATACGGAACAGTGTCTGTACAGGTTCTGGTCCCTATGGGCTGAGTGATATTTTCATAGCTCTTCAGGATGCCTGCATGCTCCATGGATAGTCAGGAGAACATGGAAGGAACTACGGAAACATATATTAGCTGGAGGGAGGGATGAAATATATTAAACACTTCTTCACTGAGTAGCAGTCGGCTCAGGGCATGCTAGAAAGGATCATACTTTGCCCACCCACCCGACCGTGTCAAAACCAAAGAGAGGACCCACATCAAGGAATATCATTTCCCTTTGGATTCAATGAAGGAGGAAGAGGAGGACTGGGGAGTGGAGAGGAGTAAGGAAGAGAGGAGGAGAAACAAGAAACAAACCCCCCTGCCACTGCCACCCACACCACAGTAACATGATCAACACAAACCCTAATTACACTCAAGACACGGGGATGAACCTGTTTGTGGTTAGATATCATTTTGGGGGGCACTTAGGTAGTACGGGGCTAGATCCTCCTATGGTATAAATTAACCGAACACACCAGAGATCTAGTTCACAACATGACATCTCATCCTATTTTTTATTCCATAATAGAATTGGATCTATTGAGATTGAATAGGTCAACTGAGATTGAACAGAGAGACTGACGGATTCAGAGAACAATAGCTTAATTGACATTCTAATAAAGAGACTGCCAGAGGGATATGAATAGCGAGCTAGCTAGATAGTAGATAGAGGGGGTGTATGGACCTAGGGAGAGAGATAGAGAGACAGAGAGAGAGGGGTGTGTGTATAGGGATAGATAGATAGATAGATAGATAGATAGATAGATAGATAGATAGCTGTGCTATATGGGCACAGTCTGACAGAGAAACAGGGAGGTATATAGATCGTTACATGAATAGATCCTTTGTCTATGCACAGGACATTGATATGAAGAAACCAGGTACAGGATGTTTCTCCCACTGCAGAGAGGGGCACAACACCACTGCAGGTCGCTGGGCGAAGGACAGCAGGTTCCATCCTTCATTCAGACCCTACCATGGTTCAGGAGATAAATTCTGTCTTATGCAGAAAGAGCTAAATGCGTGGAAGGGAAAACCGGTGTTTTTATTTCACTCTCTTGCCTCAGGGATCTAGTCCCTGAAGCGATTGTTTTATAACATTCCTCGGAGGCAGAACAACCCGGCTTCAAACTGCAATAACACACAATTCCCCAGGTCTGCCGGTTCAGACAAACTTCCATCATCAGCAACACAACGTGTTGTCTAGATGAGAGTCGTAAGAGGCTTTACAACCCACAGGGAATGGCCTGACAATTTTTTTGCAGAGACATGATGAGGAAGACTGACTTGTCCAACACAGCACACAGCATCAGGGACACCCCCTGGGCTCATGGGTCCAGATCTCTGATGCGTCTACACTACAGCGCTAGTTCGAACTAACTTAGTTCGAATTAGTTAATTTGAACTAAGCTAGTTCGAACTAGCGCATCTAGAACTAAAAACTAGTTCGAACTAGCGTTTTGCTAGTTCGAACTAGCGCGTCCACACTGATTGGACGCAGAGGCGCATTTAAGGGCAACTGAAACCGGTTCTGGCAGGGCATCAGGTCAGTAGTTGCTTTGTGTGGCTGCTGTCTGAGGCTATCTGAGGCTTATGCTTAAAGGGACCACCTAGACAGCCGGTTCTCACCTTTTCCACTTGCTTGCCAACCTCGCCAAGAGACAGCAAAGCGTTTTCATCTGCGCCTGTCTGTGTCGGTGCTCCCCATTGGGTACACCGCCGCAGGTGGCAACATGGAGCCAGAGCTTACCCTGCACTTTCTGGTGCAGTTTCTGGACTTGATGCTGCAAGCCTGCCAGCAATGGCTGGAGGCTGCCTGGCACCACCTGGTACACGTCAGCCCCCTACCTCTTCGCCTGGCCACCCTGGGGGCCATGGAGCAGCTGCGGCAGCGCCCGGGTGCTGGCGTGCCTCACCACATCTGGCGTCTGGACACCAGCAGTGACTGGTGGGACCGCATCGTCCTGGAGCGCTGTGGAGAACAACAGTGGACCCAGAACTTCAGGATGAAGAGGGACACCTTCCTGGAGCTCTGCGAGTGGCTCGCCCCTGCTCTGCGCAGAAGGGACACTCACATGAGGCCCGCCATCCCCCTCCAGAAGTGTGTGGCCATCGCCTTCTGGAAGCTCTCCCCGCTGGACAGCTACCGATCCGTCGGGAACCATTTCGGCGTGGGGAGATCCACTGTCAGAGCAGTGCTCATGCAGGTACAGCACTCCCCGGCCACTGGGTCACGGGGGTGGGGGTGCTGCAAGGAAGGGATGGGAATGGGGGGGGAGGAGGCAAAAGTGCCCCACACCGGAGGGGCCGGTCTCTCCCGAACGTACTACACACCACCCGGAGGGGTTGCTTCCGGGAGTGGGGCGCAGGGCACTGCCAAGGCATGAACACTCCCAGCCACCCGGGCGCCCCAGTGATTCGCGCTTTGCTGTGTCTCTCTGCAGGTGGTCAAGGCCATCAACCGGGTGCTGCTCCGCAGTGTGGTCCGCCTCGCCAACCCACATGCCATCATCTGGGGGTTCGGCGCCCTCAGCTTCCCCAACTGCGGGGGGGCCATTGACAGGACGCACATCCCCATCAGTGCCCTGGAACAGCAGGCCTCCCAGTACATCAACCGTAAGGGGTACTTCTCCATGATCCTGCAGGCTGTGTGTGACCACTGGGGCCAGTTCACGGACATTAATGTGGGCTGGTCCGGCAAGGCACATGACACCAGGGTGTACTGGAACTCCTCCGTGTGCCAGAGGCTGTAGGCCGGGACTTTCTTCCCTGACCACCACATCGGGGCGGGGACGTGGACATGCCCGTGTGCCTGGTGGGGGATGCAGCCTACCCCCTACAGCCCTGGCTGATGAAGCCGTACACGGGGCCCCTCAACCCCTCCCGCCAGGCCTTCAATACGAGGCTGACCAGGGCCCGCATTGTCATTGAGGGGACCTTCAGGCGACTGAAAGCCCGATTTAGATGCCTCCTCACCCATCTCGACCTCGCCGAGCACAACATCCCTCCCATGGTGGCAGCACGTTGCGTGCTGCACAATTTGTGTGAGCGAAAGGGGGAGGCTTTCCTGCCAGCCCGGATGGCTGAGGCTGACCGCATGGCTGGCCACTACGCTCAGCCCTGCACCGCCGCTGTCCGGGAAGCCCAGCGGGGGGCCGTCCAGATCCGGGAAGCCCTGCAGGACAGCTTCCATGTAGAGGAGGAGGACTGAACTCTCCCTGCATGCCCCACTGGGGCCTTCTTCCACCCTCCCCCTCTTCCCCTTTGCCCTCCCTAGCCCCCCTTCCTAATGTTAAATAAAGACACCTGTTTTGGCAAAAAAAACTAGATTAGCTATTTGTGCCTTTTGTCCTTCAGCTTTATGACTCTCTTCCAATGTGAGATACCCTGGTGAGATGTTATCACCAGCTCAGTAGGAAAATGATGGCCCCAGAGAACTCAAGGCAATTGCATCACCCTCGTTTCCTACATTCAATGTCCCTTCAGGTGTCTTTGGAGGGAGCATCTGAATTATTTTTGTCCTTATGCTCTAGGCACTGATCAAGCACCCGGGTCTAATTTATGGCAGCATTTGAGACCTGAATCGCCTACAGAAGTCAAGGAGTCCCCAGTACCTTTGCAAATCCAGCTCATTATGAATGGTGGCAAATAGAAAATGATCAAGGGCCATACCACGTCCAAGCCCAACTTCTGCCCTGAAATGATCACAGGCCACACTGAAATGCTCAGTGACAAATTCTAGGAATACAGCCCACTTCATTATCCTCATTAGCACTGGCCCTATAATTGTCAGGTAACTTTTACCCCCTTCTTCTCTGTTAATAAATATCAGGTTTCTGTTTTTTCTACTCCAGCTCAGCATCTGAGGAAGTGGGATTTACCCATGAAAGCTCATGATACTAGGTACTTTTGTTAGGCTCAAATGTGCCAAAGGACGATTTGCTGGTTTTAAAGAGGTTTTTGCATTCGCTGTGACAAATAGCCACACTGAATGCCCTTGGGATTTATTAATTTTCCTCACACCTCTAAGACTGGGAATTGCTTCCAAAAAGGGAATACACGTTTCTGTGTGACCAAGAGAGTCTACAGCAGCAGGAGCTGAAAACTCAAAGTCCCTGACAATATTTCGGACCACCCCTTGACTCTCCCGCACCCCTCACTCTCTGCCCCCTCAATGCACGCTCCATGGTACAGCGCACAACCTAGTTTGCGTCCAGCCACAGAACAAGCCCTGGGATGATTCCCAGCCACGCCAGCCTTAGCCTTCTCTCCTGGCTGCGTCCCACTCACCTGGCCTTCTCACTAGCAGCATGAGGGCAGCTGGTGGGGTGTGTGTTTGCAGGAGTGTGATAGCTCCCCACTGCTCCCCTCAGTGCACTGCTGCCTCCCCGGCAGGGACAGTCCCCGGGGGTTGGCCAGAATTTGGTGTCTCATCACAAACTGAGCATCCCTCAGCAGGCAGGCCCAGGAGACCGGCTTCCCGCTTTGCCTGTCCAGCACCAGCCCCTCCCCATGCTGCTTGAGTGGGAAGGTGCAACTGGCAGTAGGATGTGGGTCTATCTCAGGGGGGCTATGAAGGGATGGGGTAAAGCAGAAGAGACAGGGCATCAGGCATAAAGAGTGGAGGTTGGGCAGCAAGTGCATCATGCCACCTCTCTACAGCCTTCAGCACTTCCTCCCCCCACCCCCTGCCATTCAGAAACCTGCTGCCGTGTGCACATGGGAGGGCGTGAGCACAGAGAAGTTCAAAGTGCTGATAAGGTGTGTGGATGTGAGGTGTCTGAAGATCACAGCTGCATTCCTCGGATCTATGGCCTGTCCCCTGCGGTTTACCCCAGTGCCTCGTACCCTCTCCCCTTCCCCAAATGAAGAGGGAGCTGTGTATAAAGTAAACCAAGACTGAGGGTATGACTACACTACCCTCCTAGTTCGAACTAGGAGGGTAATGTAGGCATACCGCACTTGCAAATGAAGCCCGGGATTTGAATTTCCCGGGCTTCATTTGCATAAGCAGGGAGCCGCCATTTTTAAATCCCCGCTGGTTCGAACCCCGTGTAGCGCGGCTACACGGGGCTCGAACTAGGTAGTTCGGAATAGGAACCTAGTCCGAACTACCTAGTTCGAGCCCCGTGTAGCCGCGCTACACGGGGTTCGAACCAGCGGGGATTTAAAAATGGCGGCTCCCCGCTTATGCAAATGAAGCCCGGGAAATTCAAATCCCGGGCTTCATTTGCAACCCGTGCCACGTGTAGCCACGTGGCACGGGGTTCGAACACGCCGGCATTTAAAAATGGTGGCTCCCTGCTTATGCAAATGAAGCCCGGGAAATTCAAATCCCGGGCTTCATTTGCAAGTGCGGTATGCCTACATTACCCCGCTATTTTGAACTAGCGGGGTAGTGTAGACATACCCTGAGGTATTAGGGGATGGTACAAAATCAGGGAACTTGGGGCAGAGAGGTGCCAGCAAGCCAAACAACAAAGAAACTAGTGATGTCATGAGTCATTCAGTGGGCTTGAAGCCCAGGCCCACCTGGGTAAACCCTGGTTATGTCAGAGAAGTCAAGGCAGGAGACCCTGATACAAATATCTGATCTTGTGACTGATGGGGCCTGACGTTCGAAAGGGGCTCAGCAGTCCTTTGCTGTTATTTGGGGGGAGGAGAGAGCTGCAGGCAGAGCAGGGAGGCGGGTGAGTGGATGAGGCTGGGGGATGGCTAAGGACAGAGAGGGGGGTGTGTGGGGGGGGACCCGGCTCTGGCTGCCTCTGGGGTGGTGACTGGCCCCTCCCAGGCTGCTTGGCAGGAGCCCTGAGGGGAGCGGAACTCTCAGCAAGGCGGGAAAATCCGGTTGGAACCGGTTCCCAACGGTCGCTGAGCGCGTCATGGTGGGGAGGGGCAAAGCCCAAGATGGAGCCCAGGGGGCGAACGTGACCGACTCCATTTTGTTTTATATAAAATCACTATTTTAAAATTAAGATCATTAATATACAGCCATAAACACACAACACATTTATATATATTTGAAATTAACTACTATGACCCACACATCTCACTCACCCCAACACCTGGACCCCTCTGTCACACACAGGCTGCCTCTCCTCCTCCTGCCTTCCTGTCTTCCTGCCTCTGTGCCTGTCTGAGAGCACCCCTGTGGCCACCACTTGCAACATTCGCCTGGCAGCCTCACACAGGAGACTGCTGTGGTTGTGCCAGAGCCGGCTCTAGGTTTTTTGCTGCCCCAAGCAAAAAACATTTTGGCTTCCCCCCCACACTTTTTGTTGGCTTTTACACATATTTGCACTTTGCGGGCCCCCCCCCCCTACAGTGCTGCCCTGTCCCGGGCGGGCTGTGGGGCCTGCTCTCTGCCTCTGGAGCCCGGCAGCGTCCTGCCTCCTTGCACTGTGGCACGTCCCTTGCAGCTCGCGGCGGGGCTCCAGCCTCCAGCCACGTTGTGCATTGCTAGCTCACTGGCGCGGGTGGGGGAGGTAACCCCCAGGCTTCAGTTTCAAGGGGGGCGGGGTCTGGCCTGAGCTGGAGTCACTTTTCCTTGAAATCCCTGACTATAAAATGGGCCTAAAGAGAAGCGGGAGCACAGCGGAGCTGCAAGGAGCCCGGCAGGCGGGCGTGTGTGGAAGGGGCGAGAGCCGGAGCCCAGCAGCCCTCACGATGCTCCACTCCCTCGGGGTTCACACCCTGCAACTGCTCACCCAGGCACTGCCTGCTTCCTTCTGCTGCCCCGCTTCCTGCTCCCCACGCTGATGCTCTGGCTCCTGGATTTTCTGTGCATCTGGAAGCAGCAGCAGATATAGGGCTTCAAGAGGCCCCACGTATGTGCCATGTCAAAAGGGGGGGGGCATGAAATTGTGCTGCACTGGGCTCCGCAAAACCCTTATCCGCCCCTGTCCAGAAGAAGGTGCTGCTGATGGGCAGGGCGGAGGAGGCAGTCAGCCAGCCCTGGCCAGAAACTACCCTCTGACGACCTCCCGGTCTGCATGTCCGACTCCAACCGCATGTTTCCCCTGCAGTCCCTGAGAGCCGTGTGGCCCGGGCAGAAGCTGGACTCCTTCAAGTCGGCGAACGTGGGCTCCTCCGCACCCAGCTCCGAAGT